TGGAGATGGTTCAAAGCTTGTTAGCTGTTCCTTGGTATCCTTAAAGCTGCAACAGCTGAAAAAATATACAAGTCTGTACTTTCATAGTTGGTTGCGTTTCTTCATTCGCTATAAAATTCTTTCGCTTCTTATGAACCAACGGATGGTACATGGTAAACTTCAACCACAAAACCAAAGTTGCGCCTGGATGAGGCCAGTTGGTGATAACCCTCTGTAGCTGAGCAGGTGCAAAAATGACTAATGTGACCTTAAACAACATTTATTTACTGTTGTTTGTGTTCACATTGAGGGAAAGCCTGTGTTGGATCAGTAAGACATCTGCTGGCTATTACCCTAATCATTACATATTTATTTTGCATATTTATTTTGCATTTACATTCTGCTCTCAGCTTTACTCACAGCTCTCTGCAAGCCTAATATCCAAGCTCATGTGTACTTCAACTCATTGTGTGTAAAATAAAAAAATGCTGTTGTTGGAAATAAGTCGAGACATATGACTGAAGTGAATTAAAAATAAAATCAGAGGTATTTCAGTCCAGATTATGGGTAAAATCACCATGGAAAAGGTTTGAAAAGATGTAACGTTTCAAACATTTTAACCAGAAGGGCTTTCCTTCCTGCATGAAAAAACAGCTTTTCAGACATTTCTGGGACTAAGCATAACCATGAACATTATTTATTTTTTTTTTTATGATTACATTTAAAATTTGATCAATAACAGTTCGGTACAAGCGGACACTATATGACTGCAACTCACAGCCTGGCGCTTAGCCGACAAACAGATTATAGGAAGAGAGCAACTGATCACTCTTTTATGCTTGAATTTAGCAGAGTTTGTCATAAAGTTTTGTCACATCGTTGTTTCCTGCTGCTGCTGTGATCAATAATTCAAGTTAATCATTAAAAAAATTTAATTGGTATCAAAGTGTACACGAACCATTAATGCTCATTCAAACATTATTGTGCCTAGCTAGATCACAAATGCATGAAATATATCAGGTATTTCAGATTCATTGGATACGACTTTACTCAATAACGATTCAGTTGTAAATACTGAACATTTTTCTATGTTACTGTCCAAGTCTTTCTATTTGAATGTTCTGCAGGTGAAGGATTTCCTCTGTACCTTTTCATGAGAAGCATGCCATCTGTCTGAAAGCTTTGAGGAAAATGCAGACTGTAGATCATAGCTAATTTTATTGAACACAGGCACAACATTTCTAACTTCACACAGAAAATACATGCTGCACATTAAATTTACTGCATTTTTTAAACTCAAAATTCAGCTGGTATTTGTAAAATTTACTGGTTAGTATTTGAGTCTCTCATTTCAATTGTCTAATCATTGCAACACGTTGAATTTGTAGTTATTTTTCAAACATGCTTTCCTTGACCTGTCTGAAGAAGCCTGTTGTTGTTTGACTTGTAGCCTAATAAGTGGTTTGTTGAATTATATTTTTCTCCTCCCAAAACTCATATCCAGCCACTGTTATACTGCCAAACCAACCCAGCCTCCATTAGTCACCTGGCCTCCTTCCCAGAAGAGTCCCAGGAGACGTCACATTCACTTTCTCATTTTCTTCACCCAATCCTGCAAAACAAGCACCCACCATTTACGTTCTTCTTTCTCAGTGCAGCCACTTCTACATTTATGAGATTTGTTATTTTAGAAATTCAGGCTGTAAGGTAGACGTGGATTAGAGAACAGTTGAATTATTCAGATACCAGCTTTAGTATTTTTCATTTTTAGGTCTGTTTGATTATTATTTTTTTTCCCTCTCAGGGTGGAACATCGGCACTAATAACTCTGTTTAATCCTCTCCTCTTTAGCCCCAGCAGAACACACAGTCAAGGATATTTTATGCATACAATGCCTTTGAGTGAAGCTTTAGGACAACAAACAACCAAACAAAAGGACATAAAGCTGCTGAGTTTGTTTTATTGACAACAGGAACACATAAACATGAGGACTGGCCCGAGGGCCCACTTTAATCCTGTGGTTCACTAAGATTGGATCATGTGGAATGATTGCTCTCATGTTGCATCATCACCCGCAGGATGAAGGATATTCGCCCTAATGGATGTACCAACCCCTGTACCGAAACACAAAGCCCATTTCTATGCTTCATGTGTTCAAGACTCGGGCTAATGTGGAGAGAGATGAGTGGGTGATCACAGAAAGGGGAGAGACGGGGGATGGAGGGTGGGACCCCTGCTGCTGGTTTGTCTAATCAAATCAATGAGCTTGTGTGGGGGAAAGGTGAAGGTCACGGTGGATACGACTGCCGGTACCCCAGGTCCTGGTCCTCCATCATCAGGCTTCTCTGGTCAGCGACCTTCTTTACCATTGACGGCTTAGTCAATTACTATTACTCTTAACTGGACATGAGGTGGGTGGAGCCTGCTGGGTTGCTAATCACACAATCAATTAGCGACTATAAAATACCTCTGAGCTCAGCAGACGGACATTTCTTTGTATGAAGAGTTGAAAAGTAACTAGATGACAGTATAAATCTGGCAGACCAAGACTTCAACTACGACATATGTATTGCTTCTGACACAGATTTGGCCTTTCCTCAAAACCAGCCGAGTTTAAAATTGCATGTTTTTTGAGACGCATCTTTTTTGGCCCAATTATACAGGGAGTCAGAGCAGATCACGGGCCTTTGTGCTGTTTTTGCAGCCATTACAGGGAATGGCCTTTCCCTTTGTTGTCTCAGCCTATGGGCATGATGCTGTCGGTCTGCGTTCTTGGTAATGTGTGGATGACGAAACACAAAGACACACAAAGTGGTGCACGAACACAGGGACACACAATGTAGTCACACCAAGCTCATCTCGTTGTAGGAAAGAGAAGCATTGCCCCCTAAGGGTCAGAAGTAGTCACTGCATGTTCTTAATTACTTATGCTTTTGTTTTTAGATCTATGAAAGAGCTTAACAAATAATCAAGTACGCAATATAGAACAGCATTTTTTTTAAGGATTTGCCTTGAGCATTCAGAACTTACTAGAAATATTGTTAACATTTTTATTAAACATGAACAGATTCTAGATTTGGGATTTTTGGTCTCAGTTTGCTGCTGAGGAAAACATTTCATTGCAAAGCAAACTCATATAAAAGCAATATAAAATATAACCATAATTTTTGATGCATGCAGAATCAACAGTATTAATACATTTGTTAACTCAAACATTGATGCAGTGTGTTTAGTTAGTGTGTGTCTGTATTCAGCAATACAACAATGCAATGCGTATAGATACATATATGAGATAACATACCCAACTCTATTACAGCTTAATGTTGTTTTGTTTATATCTATTTTTCAGTAAAAAGCTGATTTTGTAAAAAAAAAAAAAAACTGTCTTATGTAGAACAAGCACAATTTAATTTTTTTCATATTTGTGTCTAAATTGTCCTATTCTGTAATAGCAAATTATATATCTGTAACCATCTAATTATATATCTGTAACCATCTAATTATATATCTGTAACCATCTAAAATAACTAACATCATAAATAAATAACAAAGCAAAGTTTGATAATAACTTTGCTTTGTTATTATCAAAACAAAGCAAAGTCCTGCTCTGTCTCAAATAAAAAATAAAAAAAATTACTCAGTGGCATTGTCTGTCCTCTCCTTATTAAGAGCAGGACAAAGAACACGGTCCATAAAGAGGCTGGCAGCCTGGTTTGCCTCAGTTGGCTCCAGTCTTCGGTTCCTTCAGTCTGGCCTGCTTGGCCTCCTCATCGATTTCATTCATGATCCGCTCTTGGGAGACTGAATAAAACATGTAGCCATTGATACCCTTTCTGACACTCTTATCTTCAGTACATCATGACAAAGATGGTCTTCCTTACTTTTACTCCCACAAAGAAGTTTTGGCAACAATGCCATCTTTCTTCTCCATAGGACATGCAGATCAATGAGGTAAAAAAAAATCCCAGTACCAATGTTTTTCCACCTTTATTTAAACAAAAGGGAGAATGTTTAAATGTCTGAAATAAACCTAGTGGGATGCTTAAATTCAAATAAATGAATGTATTTCTGCGTCATCAAGCTAACACCCATTCGTGATGGAAAAGGGAATTCTCAGTTGATCCACGTCTTTGGGTGTTGAGAGGAGAAAATCTGCAGTTTTACCTCCAACATTGATTCCTGCTCAATTTGGCCTCTTGGCTCGGTGTCCTGCAATGCAAAAAAAATCCACACAGTCAGGATGCGTAACCCTCTGAGACGTGTGCACATGTCCATGTGTTGAATTTGTGTGCGTGTCTGTGCTAAACTACAGCATGGGAGCATCTACAGCATGGGAAGGTGATTGACTATCTGGTGGGGTATTGCTGATGAGACAGCAGTTTCCTTCTTAGGTCAATACAAACAGATCTGAATCTCACTGCTGAGAAGGACACCACACATTCCCAAATTACTCCCTCAACATCCGTCAACTGGTGCTGTGTGCAGTCAACCAAAAAGCAATAAGGGCTTTAGAGAGACGAACACTTACCACTAAGAATTTTGCTATGTTTTTGTATAAACATCTAATATTCCTCCTGCATGCTCTGCTGCTGCTGGTAGCTTGTAGCGTCTCAGGGACTTGAGGAGGATCGGTCTGGACATACGTATCCAGAAGACTCCCAATCAATGTCTGGAAATGTTGAGCTCTCTTTCTAAATTCACTCACATGAATAAGTTCAGAGGAGAAGAATAGATGTTAAATTAAAGGTGCGCTTATATATATATTACTGTATATTTTGTAACTATAGCTTTTTTTTTTCATCTTGATTTACCACAAACTAAAGGCGCTTTAAGAAAGAAATTCCTCAAGATCTGCACAGGAGTACATCTGACTGGTTGAGCTTTTCACACAGCTGAATGAAGGAAGGAAGCCTTTAAACTTCCAGGATTCATTTTTAACTTAAGGGGTGAAGTAAAGTCAGGCAAGCAGAGGGAAATGAAATGATTTAAATGAAGCTTTGCTGCATAAAGAATGATTTAATATTTAATGCTTTACTATTTAAATGAGGAAGGAGGGAAAAGGGAAAACTGCAATCCACATAGCAACTCTGATTTATGTAAATATTGGAGGTGGAAGTGCCATTATTATATAATTATCCTTATTATACATCTCATTTTGCCAAAGTTTTATGGGATGGGTTCTTTTAAATGTGTTTGGGTTTAAAATAATATTTGTCATGAGAGCAATAAAAGACGTTTAACTTGCAACTAAATTATTTTGGAAACAACTACTTATGAGTTTGTATCATTGAAGGTAATATTATTAATGAAAACTAGAAGGATTTAAATGTTTGGCAGCTACTTTATTCGATTCACTTAACTTTTACATCTCTTGAAAATTCACCATTCAACCAAGATGCAAGATGCTACTCACATTTTGCTCAGAATAGGGTCTTTGGGTTCAATTTGGTCACAAAAAGAAAAAAGAAACAAAAAAAGTTTTGAAATGTAATCTGGGGAGCAAATTTGTTTTTCATGACACTGTAAATGCAAACACAATTTAGTGGTCCACCGCATAATTGGAAGTCCCAGGATAAAGAGCTGCAGCATGAATTTTTAATGCGCCGAGTTCAACAACCGTCTTTGAGATTTAGTATTCACACAGAGTCATGAGGGACAGTGAACATTCAGAGAAGAAAACTTTGAGCTGAAGCAAGAAAAACAAGGTTTTATCTCACCGGAAGCCTGGATGCAAGGTTGTTGTGTAAATGACATGAAAATACTCTGGCTTCTTAGTGTATATATTGAGACGCTTTGAGATGACGTGATGCGAATTGACTCTACATACATGAATTGAATTGAACTAAATCGAATCTAAACACTTGAAAATTAGAAGTCAAGGCCCTGTTTCACATAACAAAAATAACATGGTTAGTATGTGCGCTGTGTCATCATTAATTAAGTAATCTGAGTATGAGAAATGTTGGTATGCAAATGTGAATTTGATGGTCATATATCCATGCCTTTTGGAGATGGATAATTATGTTTTAACGTAAAAAGGAAGAAATTAGAACTTATCCGTTTTGGGTTTTCCATGTTTGCTTTCTCCATTCCTGATTTGTAATCCCATCCATGCTTTGGATTCCTTACAATTGATGATGGAAAGGTCAGAAATAGTGTCACAAGTACAAGGAACTCTTTAAGGTGCTCATTACATGACCTCTCTTTGTGTTTCTGACCTTTCATTTCCTCTGTTGGTGCTGGAATAGTCAGCTACCATTAACAAGCAGATGAATGCAAAATCAACGTCGTGCACAAATGCAATTAAACATGCAGCAGATGTGTGTGGACTGTAAGAGAGGGCTGATTGGTGAATTAAAAAAACAAGTGAAGTGAGTTTTACTAATCAGCATATGAATGTGTTTAGCTGTGTTAAGAAAAGCAGTTACTTCTTCTCCTAAATCAGTTAAGGTCCTCCACCTTTATTCAATTATCGTAACTATCTCCCACGATTTACATACTGTACACTGGCACACAAAGACAGTTCTTGAATAATTCATTGTGCATCACACTGGCAGCACTTTTCATATGGAGATGGGAGAAAGGGAAGTTGGAATTCAAGGCTGGCTAGTTTTAATTGTTAGTTCTCGGCGACTATGCAGATTTTTTTTCTGCAACAAAGAACAAAGAGGAGCAGGTTCAACGGCCACAGTCTAACTCCTAAAACGACTGTATCCTCCTGCTAAAGGCAAATCCATAGAAGAAAAATGAGAAAGCGAGGGCAAACTCTGCTATAGATTTATAATTTTTCATTCCGTCACAAAACAGAGCATTAATCTGTCTCAAGAGGAGCACACGTCTGACCCTGACATCATTTACTTCCCTTTCCTCTTTCATGTCCTTCCTGCTTCTGCTGCATTTCTATTCTATGCAGTCAAAAGAAATTATGAAATGCACATTTAATTTTGCTGATGAAAGGAGGTTTTAACATACAGATGCAACACTCACATGCATCAGAAGCTGGATTTTTTCTCCCTCACCGATTTTGATCACATTTTACCTCCTCAAACCTGAATATGGAGCAACACAACATGTCACAGTTCAGCCGCTCATATTCAATATGAAAAATATGCCGATGTGTGTGATTGTAAATTTGCATTTCAATAAATGGGCCACTGTTAGTTTCAGAAGAGATAATGCCTCTCAAGAACACGGTAATAACACAGATATTTCTCTCTCTCTCTTTTCCTGGTTATGAATCGATAACACAGATCCTGCTGCTATAGTGACACACCAAGAAATAATCTCCATCCGCTCAGTATGTATGAGTATTTTCATAACACAGAGTCATCAGTTAGTCTGTAACACTTCATGATCAATTACAGCATGATAATAATGTTTGAAGAATCAGAGAAATGTGTGCCCACTTCTATCTGATCCTCACCGTTCTTTTATGAGGCCTCTTCTCTGACTATGGTCTCTGACTTGAACAAAACAATCACAGTTTCATGGAGCTGCATGATTAAAGAAAGTAATAATTAGTACATTTGGTCAAGCTGATTTGAACAAAGTACCACAGGTGTAATTATAACAAGAATGACCTTTTTCTACATTACTAATTAGGTTGAGAGAGTAAAGGAGCATTTGTTACCAGACTTTCTTTCTTTAACTGTTGGGTGTAATATCAAAATGCAAGTAGGGCATTTTATTTAAAGAAAATAAAAGAGCTTTTCAACAGGTTTGTTTAAACTGCATGATTAAACTATTATAAAATACTACCACCTTTTGGACAGAACAGAAAATCCCTCTTTTAGGTAAACTTTACTTTTAGCAGGTCACTCCAAATAACCTGTGACCTTGCTAGGTCAGATCCTAAGGTTTAAGTTTGACAGCATGATGTGTGAAAGTTTCTCTTAGGTAGCCGCTTAATGTTCTTCACCTGAATTGCTGGGAAATAAATGAATCAAAAGTAGAAAATCTCATGTCACTTATTGTTTTTTAGATTTTTTTTTTTTACTTTATTTAATTTTCTTCATTTACTTTTAATGTATTGTGACATTTTCAAAAATAAACCACATAAAAAAATGTTCTATGTAACTTCTTTTAATATTCTCAGTTTATAAAATTAATTGTGAAGTCCTTACCCAAATGTGGCCGGTCTCAGCAGTGCCAGTAATTTCCATGTGGTAACAAATTACACAGAGATAACAGATACAATCCCTGCTCATGTTCAAAGCCAGAATCCCTACCAAACATCCCACATACTGGACTGTGATCTGGGTTAATGCCATTTATCAAATACCATCATTTAATCATCGTCTCATGACGTTTTACCCTACTCACATAAGACCTCAAAAACATCACCACTACAGTCTTTTTCTCTACAAAATCAAAATGTGTGATGCATTAAACTGACGAAAGTCACTCTTTATTACATTAAATAGCCTTCACTGTTTGTAGGAAATCATTATGGCTACAGATTTCTTCAAGGCTTATCCTGTACGTCCCAAATGTAATAAAGGGGGATCTTACACTCCCCAGGCCCTGGCAATTGGAAATCAATCATGATTAATTGATCGGTTTGGTCCTGGGGATTTAACCTCGTCATAAAATCAATTGGCCCTGACCAGAACGCAACAAAAATCGACCAACTAGTTCTGGACCCTCATCCATTGGGCTGCGGTGAAAATCAATTAGAAAAATTAAAAGGTATCAAAGCAAAGGTATTTATTAATCATGTTCTTAATTTCCATAGCAGTCTATAACTACAGGGCAGACACAATGTGATGATGAGCCAATTTAACAGCTTAAAATTATTTTTTTTTCTCGTGTCTTCTTTCTGAAAGGTGAATTAATGGACAACTTAGCTAATTAATATGAGAGACAAGACACTAAAAACTCCTAGAAGTGAGCCAGATATTTTATGCTGAATAAAAAAATAAAAAATAAAAATAAAAAACTTTTTCTCTCAGATGTTTCAGGTAAATCTGTATAAGCCAAGACATCACAATCTGTACAGTCTTTGTTAGAAGGAACAAAATTCTTACTGGATACTGAATTTGAAATTATAAAAAATCTAAAAATGTATATATATATATTTCCCAATGTTCCTGTATTTAACATGTTGAAATACTTCTGTCGTAAAATAAGACAGGTTTTGCCTGAAATAATGTCAATGAGAAAAAACTGCACATCTTTTTAACATATATATATAATACCTTGTCCTAACTATACCATGGAAAACATAAAGCACTTTGCAGTATTAAATAAAATTGTTTCCTCAATACTTTGAGCATTTATGTGTATCTTGACATGCAGCTATTCAATCACTGACTGTGTATCGTTTCTGGTGAGAAAAAATTTAAATTACAGCAACCAGAAAACATCAACAGACTCCCTGCTGCTCCATTTACAGCTGACATCCAATTAAATAAAAAAAAAGAATTGCTCGTGTTGACATCCATGGCTGGCAGTCAAAATACCGTTCTCAGAAAAAGGTGAGGTTGACAGGGAAAGTACAAGCAGTGAATAGCTTGTTTATGCAAAACAAGATAAGACAGTTTAAATTGTAGCACATTTTTATACAGCTCCTTAGTTATACTTTTATTTTCTGCATGTCCTTCTTCCCGTCGACTTACTGAGTAAAGGTCACTAATGTAAAAAAACATAAATAAAAATCTAAACATTTTGAGTGAATTAAATATCACAATCTTGGTATGATTTTCACCACTTACCAGAAAAAAATAAAATAGTGAGCATTTTTACTACAAAGATTGCTATGCAGGAAACATGAGTGAGCTTCACTGGGGGAAAATAATCATTTACAGAGTACCAATATAACCCTTTTTGCCACTGGATTAAGAAACATTTTTTTTATTATTTAATGCACAGAACAACCCAAACTTGAGGAAGAGCATCAAGACAACAAATTAGGCACAACAAAGTTTCTCAGGTAAGAGAGCATTCTTTAAATGTCCTTTTTATTTTTTTTTTTACTTTTTATGGCCTCTTTCCCAAAATATTTCCACCATAAACTTACAAAGACAAGCCACATC